TGTCATTTTCATTTAAAAATATTTTTTATTTTTATTTTTTAAATAAAATATTTATTTTGCTTAATAGGTAATATTTTTTATTTTTATTTTCGACATCCATATAACTAAGCTGCTAGGGTATTAAGTCTTTCATTTCTGCCTTTTTAAATGAGTTACTTCTGCTTCCGGCAAGTCATCCGCGGTGGGAGTCTCTGGGAGCTGTGTGCACTAGGTCAATATAAGTATATAAAATATGCGCTTATCCAGCCAATCAGCGGCTGCAATTAGCTGAAATTGCATTTAAGTACTCCTAAGTGCAAGCTAAAAAGAGAATAAAAAAAAAATCCAAACGATACAATTCTCCTCTCGTTGTGGCTAAATTTCCGCTTGTCAGGCACTGGGAAAACGGCTCCCAGTCGAAAGCTGACGTTTGGAAAAACGTGTGAAAATTATGAAATTGCATTTGCAATGGACTGCACTCCCGAAAAGGCAGCTGCAAGCCGCGTAAAGTGCGGTTAATTGTGGCTTTTGTTGGTCTTCTATGGCCGCTTGGAATACAATTTATCATCAGCGGCAGATCGGCCGCGATCTGGGGAGATTTGTGTGTCCTCCCTCTGTCATAAAGCTCACTTTTGAGCGTGCACATCCCTCCACATTTCGTACAGCCGAAACAAAACCCAAATAAATAATTTCTCGGAATTAATGTGTCTTTGTTTGTTTGCTGATGCGAATTCATTAATTCGCATTTATCATTTCATAATCGCAAAACGTGTCTACCAAAATATTGTTTTCTGGCCAAGTTTTTCTCTGCTGTGATGCCAACTGCAAGCCGCATTGCATTTTTAAAAGTTTTTTTTTTAGTGTATAGCTGTAAATCTCTTTAGATTGGCGTTCATTATATTTTTTACTACATGCCAACTTAAAGGCCTGATTTTATTTATATAAAACTTGCTGTCACGTATTGCTGAGGAAAACTTTAGATGCATCGATAAGAAATGAGGAGCAAAATAAGCCATATCTGTATATATAATATGAATTATATAAAGCCTTTTGATCTGTCCATCCAACAAGAGAGATGTTGCTCGATAATGCATTAATGAGAAAATGGAAAGCAAGTAAAAGTCAAAGTATAAAGCTGGTACAAATTATTATATTAATGTTGATTTATTGGTGAAATAAATAACAGTACTATCAGGATAAAAAAAAAAAAAAAAAAAAAAAAAATTGTAGCAATTCATATTTTTCTAGCCATCTGTAAAACAAAGCAAAATGTTACCTTAATTGTTCGACAAATTAACAACTCAGCTCAAGCACAATGCGATCCCATAAAGCAACATTGAGTCTGATGAATATAAATAGCTCTTGCTTGAAAATTGAACCTTTTATTTATCGTTTTGTCAAATTTGCGGTTCAAAATATTAATCTAAACATTTTTTTTCTTCAGATTGTTGAAAATATTTTTATTTTTTATTTTTATTTATTATTTTTACTATATTACT